TGGAAAGGGTCATTGCCAGAATGACTGTAGCATGATATTCTGCCATGTGTATGCAATGACATTCTGCGATCGGCATTCTGTGTGAATTGCTGGTGTCGACATGTAAGCAATGAAGTGATGTCAGACAATCATGTATTTGCACATTGTCATTAGCAATTAATTTTATCAGTTCAAATAGCCAAGTGAAACGAGAAAAAGCCTTACATTTCAACACCTTTCCTATTTTCACTATCATAATTTGTGTGTTGAAGATTTCAGTAATACATTTTTAATAATATTTTGCATATGGGGAGGCAGCGTTAAAGCTTGAACTGTGGGCAGCTTCTTCATTTGGGCGCCACATTTCAAATCACTACTACCACAATGTAAAAACAATATTTGTCCAACTGAATGACAAGTATGGGATTTAAATTGCTTAGATACCTTCCACATATCAGAGAAACTACCTAGTGTCATTTCTTCATGAGTTCAATACTCTACTGGCCCTGGAAGGTGATGAAAAGAAGGATATGGATTTGTTTTCACTGTTATGGTTTCAGTCATTGAAATTGAACATCCTTTTCCTAATGTCAGATACAGATGGACAGACATTACTGTCTTGTGTTATTGAGAGGATACTCGTTAACAGATATACAAAAAGAACCCCAAAAAGGCACAAGACACTCCGTTTACAGTAAATGTTATAAAGCTTTTTATGACACCTTCCGGATGTTAAAAAGGTGCCATATCAAATGCAAGGATTATTATGAATTCCTCAAGTGAGAAGTAGGAACATAGTGTTTGAGCAGGAAGTGCTCACCTGGTGATGGGATTCAGGGTACATCATTGGGACAGAGAAAGTATGGCTTTGCTGAATGTGATCTAGGAATGTTTTATGACTGTAATATAATTGGGATGGTGTTTCGTTCTCCATCACTTGGATTTATTGTTTTGTTAATAATAATAATAATCCTTGTATTTGATATAGCGCCTTATCACGTCTTCTAAACTTCTCAAAGCGCTTCACAGAATATACTGTAAAATCAATTGACTTTATATTTTGTGGGTAAAAAGCAGCAGCCAGTTGCGCACAGCAGTGTCCCACAAACAGACGTGGATTGAATAACTAATTTACTATTTTTTTAAAGGAATTATTACCCCCGGAAAAGTGATCCCCCAATCGACTGACAACCGGGTTCCTATTTACTGCTTGGTAAACAGAGGCGTGTGGAGTAAGGAAACTTGCCCAACATTTTGCCCTGCCAGGAATTGAACCCAGGTTGCGAGGCGAATGCTCTAACCACTAACCTACAGGACTACACCCAAATTAATTAATTGAATTATGAATATGGATATCCCATTTATACTACAGGAAGTGAAGTGATTCAGGAGTAAATCCAATAGGAGTGGCAGCCCTAAATGTACACTTCCTGCTCACAGTTGTATTGATTGGGGTTCAATATAATTCAGGATAGGTTTCAGAAGCTGGGCTCTGGTGCTGTTGACTTTTAGATCTTGCTATTTAATAATAATAATAATCCTAGAACTTGATATAACTTTGTTGAGACATCCTAAAAGTGTTTTAGAGAATGTATTGTAAAGTGAATTGAATTAATATTTTGTAGACTGTATATTATATTTAAACCCTATTTATACAATATTTTTCACAATGTTTGGATTTTAATGGAGAAGGGTATAGTATTTAATGATTTAACGTTTTAAGGTTGAATAAGTGATGCAGAATGATTACAATATTATCTAGGAAGGAATCTAAAATACCAGCTGGATTTGTGCATTACTGCAGCTAATTGAATTATAATAATAATAATAATAATCCTTGCATTTGATATAGCGCTTTTCACATCGGAAGGACATCCCAAAGCGCTTCACAGACCACACTGTAAAGTGAATTGACTTTTTTTGGGTGAACGCGGCAGCCAATTGCGCACAGCAATGTCCCACAAACAGTCGTAGATTGAAAATGACCAATTTATTATTGTTTTTGGTTTTTGGAGGGATTATTATTAGGCTCTGTGTGGAGTAAGGAAACTTGCCCAAGGTTTCGCCCTGCCTGGAATTAAACTCGGGTCTTTGCAAAGAATTGTTCTTTGCGGAAGAGCAGAAAATCACTTCAGTAATTTGGGAAAAAATGGTTTAAGAATTCACAATTCAGACAATGTATTAAGATGAAATTCTGTTTTCTGTTAAGTAATAGGAGTTTAAGCATTACAATACTTTGTCTATTGAACAGAACTGCCCACAAGTAGACACTAAGTTTGGCAGTCTTCTGTTCCTCATTTGAGACCTTATGCTTTTAAAATATTTTGCCTTGTATTTGTTCCTTGCGCTCCAATACACATTGATAACCATCATTCCCTTTTCTTTCTTCATTTGTAGCTCTTTCTAGTAGGTTTTAAATATTCATGAGCCCTCTGTAGAGTTAGAAATGTCTTAGCAACTCAAAATATTTCTCTTGCATGTATATAATTAAGGTAATAACGCACAGATATGAATAGCCAAGTATTTCAGTTATGTGACAGTTCTAAAACCTAAAAAATGCCTTTTAAGTTGACAGCTTCTGAGTTATTCTTCATTTGCAACTAGACATTGATGAACACAATCTGATTAAATGCAAGCCTTTACTGATAAGATTGTTGTGATGCACACTATTACCAGTAATAAAAATGTTCCTATTCTGTGAAAGAAGTAGAATTATTTGTGTTTTAGACTACATGTATACCTTACATACAAACATACCTATAGTTTATTTACTGTCACGACAAAAAATACTTGGCAATGTCAAAACCATACATTTTTTAAAACAAGCGTAAATTTAAAGTAAAATGTAATAAATTAGTAAAAGCAGTGTTTTGTTCCTGTGCACGAGACATGAATAATTTATTCCCCCAGAGCAGGGTTGTTGTGTGACTTAAGTGACAAGGATATAATAGTTTTCACATGACCTTCTCTGATTTGGATACTGATCTCAGGAAAAAAATGAATTCCCCTTGGTTACTAACCTGGTGCAAAATTCAGATATTGGTGCTGGAAGGTCATCTCCAGGGAAACTAAACTTACCTCAACAATTGGGACCCATCTTTAACATCAAAATATATTTTTATATTCATCTTGGGATGTGGTGACTCTGGCAATACCAGCATTTACCATGCGGTAAAGGTACTTCTACAGTGGTGTTGCGGGAATTTGACCAAGCGACAAGGAGGAAGGGATAGTGGTGCAACCTGGGAATATTACCACTTTCAAGCCACTTGAAGGTGGTGATATTCCCAGGTTGCACGGCTGGGAATGCCTGTTGATGCAACATTGGTTGCAGTGCATTGTGGAGGTAGAACACACTGCAGCTACAGTGCATCTGTCAGAGAAGGAGTGAACATGACTTGAGTAGCTGGAGTGCTGATTAAGTAAACTGTTGGATGGTGTTGAGCTTCATAAGTGTTTTACCCATCCAGGCAAATGGCAAGTATTCCATCACAATCTCGGCTTTAGCTTTCCAGATGGTGGAGAGTCTTTGAGGAGGTTGGAGAACACCAACTCGCAAAGGCACAAAGTAGTAGCCTCTGTCCTGCTCTGTCACCAATGCGTTTATGTCGTTGATCCAGTTAAGCATCTTGTCAATGGTGATCCAGCTAAATGGTGCAGAGCCAGATATGGCTACATATGTATTTTTGAGTTAACTGGAGTGAAAGATTGTGGGCTATTTTCCCACCCAACCAACCAAACAATTGCTCCAGCGAACTAAAGACATGCTAGCAAGTGAGAGGGCCCGAGTTTGTTTCCCGCGCTGGGCGAAGCCTTAGGCAAGTTTCCTTTCCATGCCTCTGTTTACCCAGCAGTAAGTAGGAACCTGGTTGTTAACTGATTGGCAGATTGGTTTCCCAGGTAATAATCCCTTAAAAAGAAAATTTGCTCATCAGTCTACATCTGTCTGTGGGACACTGCTGTGTGCTGCTGTGTTTCGCCTTCAAAATATACAGTCTATTCACTTTACAGTATATTTGAAGCATTTTAAGGTGTCTCAACAAGTTGATAAGGTGCTAAATCATAAGTGATCAACAGACACTAGAACTTGACTTCATTTTGACTTCACAAAAATACATTTATAGAGATAGTTGGGGAGACTCCTGACAGGAGATGAATATCAGAGTAGCAGCCAAGAGTTAAAGATTTCATAATAAGAAAAATGTAAAGAATAGTAATATTTCCTTCTATTGGCATTTCCTTCATTTGTTCATTCCTATGTTAAAGTAATGTTCAAAGTAATATTTGGCTGCAGAGTTTTCTGAGAGCAGACTGGGATTTACTATGTTCTCTATGACTCTGCTCCTGTATTTGAAAGACACCAATAATGCTTAGCTAGAGAAGAGCCAACGATTTTGAAATAAAATTCAACTGTAAAGTATGTTCATTCTGTTGGTGAGCAATCAGGTTGATGTTTTGTTATTTTCTTTGTTTTGGTCTATTTGCATTTTTTTCCAGTTCTAGTATTTTTATAGCTAGATTGCCATTGAACTAATACGAATAATAATCTTTACATTCGGTTTAGCATATTTCACTTCAGAGGATGTCTTGAAGCACGTCACAGGATATACAGTGATTGTGTATTTTGATAGCAGACTAGGGAATAGCTATACCAACTTAGGCATCAAGGGTTCGGACTATTTCCTTTTCATTTACTGCTTAAAGGCCCTTAAAGTTGTAAATGCTTTAGCCGCTATATTAGCCGGTATCTATGATTTAGGTTTTTAATAAAGTAATAATACCACAGAAATGAAAATTTCTATATGTTTGATTATTAAAAATAAGTGTTATTGTGTTTTAATATGAATAGACCAATAGTACCTAAAGTTTATTAAACAAAAGCTTTGTTCAAAATCCTCCATACCTTATGCCACAAATCTTATCATCTTTTACACAATTTTAAACAAACATTACTATTTCCATCAAAACACAGTATAGCCTAAACAGCACTCAATGCAATTTCTTTTGTTTTTTTGTTGCAGGTGGTAGAAAATGTCATAAAAGTAAACCCAACTTTGGGTCCTCAGATGTTTCAGCCACTTCTTCCTTCTGTGTGTAAAGGGATTTTAGATGGAGAGGTAGGTGCGGAAATGAACTGCATGGATGTATTCATGTACCAGAAAGTAAATTGGTTTTAGTGTAAAATATGTTTAACCAGGCACTTAAAGTCCAACTGTTTGAAAATGAGATAATTATATCATAATGCAGCAGACCAGGCGTGAGCACTGAATGAGTTTGTCAGAATAGCTCAGTTTAGTGGCTGAATGAAATGGCTTATGATCTCTTCCTGAAACAGTTCAGGGACTTAATTTCTATTATTGATTATTATCTTGCAGATAAACTTTTGAGTCTCAAATAAAATGTTCAGTAGATGGATGACTCATTCTTTGAAGTGGTTCTGTTTTACTCCCAACTCAAAGTGCTCAGATTTAGATTAAAATTTCTAGTGGGCTCACCTGTTATGGGCTGGCTGATGGGATGGAATTCAGTGAAAGTAGTCTTTCTCGAAGGAGAGAAAAATCTAGTACCTTTATATGTAGCTGCTTTAGTCCAATATGAACCCTCATTGTAGGTATTTGAAGTGCTTTGCAATGTCAACCCACATGAAATGCACTCTTGGTGGTTATTGTAGCTGTGGTAGATTCAGGTATGGGAGGGCAATATGGAAACTGAGAAATTAAACCAAGGCTTAGATCACAAGAGAGGTACAGGTGAAGGCCCTTTGTCCCATTAGATCTTATATTTTCAGAAGAGCCATCCTATCTTTTTAAATACTACTTAATGTCAGTGTTAAAATTGCCCTTCATACCCTCAACCTATGCCCTTTTGTCCTGCTCCATTGGTATATCTCGAAGTATTATTCTAGGTTTACTTTTCTATCCCATTAAGCATCTTGTCCTCTGTAATGCTTAGCTGAGACAGTGCTTCTTGAAGGCCAAAGAGCCTAACTTATTTAGTCGTTCCTTGTGGTGCTCTCTTTAACACTGAGGATCAACCTCATTGCTCTCCTCTGCACTACTGATTTAGCAAAATAGCCCAGCATTCTGTTTGCCTTGTTTATTATCACTTCATTTTGATTTTACATGTTGAGTCCCAAGTTTAACAGATGCCCCAATATATCTTTCAACATAAAGTTTTTGTGTATACATGGAGTACATATGCTTCCTGTTTTTACATCTGACTTATTACTTTACATTTATCTGTAATGGACTTAATTTGTCAGTGAACAGCCAGGTGTGTACCCTCTAGTAGACTAACCTACTAACGGTCCTAATCTAGGCTTACTAATGCACAGGCAGAGACCACTTATGCAGGAGAATGTCTTATGCGCTTATGCAGAATATACAATATCCTGGTATTTCAGGAGAGAATGAATAAATGAATGAATGAATGAAATAACATCTGTTATTCATTTTCAATATACTGGAGATAAATATGAATTTTATACGTATCTGTATTCTTGTTTATGTGAAATGAGGTTATATTAAGATGAAGTAAGTTATTGTAGTCAGTTTTTGTGTACATTATATAATGATTGCTTAAGAAAATGCATGTTTTTGTTGAATTTTTTAAATGTATTTCTTTATCCACTTCAGAAGTACCCAGTGGTGATGTCAACGTACCTTGGTATAGCAGGACGGGTATTACTACAGAACGCAGGCTTCTTCTCGACTCTCCTTAGCCAGATTGCATTGGAAGTCAACCAGGAGGTAACAAGCCAAAGCGTTGATGTATTGGCATTCTTCAATTCGCATTTACAACTCCGCATACTACTCCTCCAGCCCAAATTGCTTGCTTAAATTATTTAGAAAGTCAAAGCTTTGATTTAAAAGACAAAATTGAAAAGATTAAAAAGTAAGATCCAATCTTGAAAACCAATTAACATTTAACTTGTCTCCATGGGTGCAGAACTGTCAGTACTGCATGATACAATACTTACAAGATGCTAGTGGTACCTCAGGAACACTAGGCACTTCTGTTCAATTTACTACACCAGAAATGGAAGGATTATAGGACTTCACAAAATCAGGTTTTAGGTACTTTTGGTCATTTGAAACTTTATGGGATATTGCTTCAGAGCAACATTTGATTTTGAAAAGTTATGCATCAGAAATTGTGCCTTAGCCAGGCGGAAACTACTCAGCACTGTTGCCAGCAGAGCACCCAAATTAATATCACTGAAAGATTTACATCTTGTGAAATGTAAAAAAAAGTATAAAATGAGAAGTATAGTTGAAAAATGAAGGAAAATAAAGGAAAATTTCATTGGCACAAGAAATGTCCAGCAGCAATGTACATCTTCGTTAGCAGATGTGTTATGAAATGTCATCCTAAAACACAAGGGACATCAAAATGATATGTATGTTGTATATAATTTGGAATATATATCTGTGAAATATTATCAAATCTATTTGAATTGTGTTAATTTGTGTACAGTAATGATTAGGAATAGCTGAAAGCCGTATTAGAGTAGTGGCTTCAAGTGTTAACTGTTATTTTTACTGCATTGAACTTTATTGACTTTTCAGAGAGTAACAAGCTTTAAAATTGTAATTGCTGCAATGTAATGCAATCTTAACCATTTAATATCATGCACACTCCTGTATGTTTATATACAATCTGCCAGTTTTCAATTTCCGATTTTGTTTAAAATATCTACTGATTAGGAGCACAAAAATTAGATTTTTTGTGATGTTTGTGATACCAGTTTAGCACCATTGTTCTATAAATATTACAAAGCAATTCAGAACATTTAGCAGCATTATATATGGTGCTGTGGGGATAAATTGACACCAGGGTAGGATTTCATTGTGCCACTTCCACGGGGAGAGCAAGAAATGTGGCAGACAATTGTGCACAGCAGTGACCCACAAACAGTCGTAGATTGAGTGACCAAATTATTATTATTAATTAATAATTATTATTTACGATCACGCAGAATTGTGGAAAGTTCTTAAATTCCGAAGCCAGTTTTTGTTTTTGTATGGACTGGAAAACCAGCTTCCAAACCAAGACTGAATTAAAGAATGTTCCACCTTTCTAGTTTAATTGTGTGGTTTCACAGGATGGTTGAGATTTCAGTAATAATCCTTGAATTTGATATTGCACCTTTAACGTTGGGAGGATGTCTAAAGAACTTCAAATTATTTATTGTAAAGTGTAGTGACTGTATTTTGTAGCCAAATGCATTAGCCAGTTTGCGCACCACCATGTCCCACAATGTTTGTATTCATAACAGCCCTGAAGAGGTAATTCTGCTGAGTGGATCAATTTCACTGCCAATAAATGGGAAGAAATTGAAAATGACACCTCTCATATCTGTTGAGAGGCAGATTGTTTCTGTGAAGGATGGAGAGTAACAGATTTAAAACTGACCCAGAAAGAGTAATTAATTGTAGAGAAATTACAATTACTTTGTTTGTTTCTGGGCCTTTCAGTTCATCTTTTCCTGGAAGTGCATGGCCATCTGAAAACTGCCCTTTTAGCACAGGGAACTTGATCCCTTTTAATGTCACTTCTGGTTTGGCACATGGTTAGGGAAACAGGAATTGTTGTCAGAGATGACTTGATAACCCAGAAGTAATTTTACATTGCCATTTTAGTGTGAAAAGCTGTTTGGATACAGGAAATGAGTGGGCCAACTGCTGGTACGAGAGAAAAAAATGGTTCATGTACTGCATGGCTGTTTAGGAGACATTGTTGTACACAAATTGACTGCCACATTCACCAAAAAATACAGTCACTACACTTTTGCACTTTCCTGTGAAGTTTTTTGAGGCATTTTGATATAAGGTATTATATCAAATGCAAAGATGATTACTGTTGTATTCTTGCATTTATTTTCTTACCAGCCCTCGGACTAGAGAATGAAAGTCCACAAATCGGAGATATTATTTTCTTTTTTTTACTTGTTGGAAAATAACACTTAACTGATTACATGGAAATCCTCTCACTTGTAAATCTTATGACATACATGGCTCCTTCATTCATTGTTTCACCATTCAGATATTTTGAGCATTTTGTCCGTAATTTGCCTTCTTCTATCACAAGTTTATTTGAGTATCATATCTGTAATTTTATTTTTATCTCATACAAATGCCTCTTCAATAACGTCACAAAATGATTGATTGAACGCTCTGGGCTGCTCAGTGACCCACTCAGGAACTTTTAGTGTAAAACTGAGATTATTAATAATAATAATAATCCTTGCATTTGATATAGCGCTTTTCACGTCTTCTGAATGTTCCAAAGCGCTTCACAGAATATACTGTAAAATGAATTGACTGTATATTTGTGGGCGAACGCGGCAGCCAATTACGCACAGCAGTGTCCCACAAACAGTCGTAGATTGAAAATGACCAATTTATTATTGTTTTGTTTTGGAGGGATTATTATTAGGCTCTGTGTGGAGTAAGGAAACTTGCCCAAGGTTTCGCTCTGCCTGGAATTGAACTCAGGTCTCTCGCTTGCAAAGCGAGTGCTCTAACCACTGAGCTACTGGACTCCACCTTAATGCCATTAAGCATTAAGGTGCTCTTTTCCACCGCATCCCAGTTTTTTTCCAGTTTTTTCTCTGCCCCACACTTCCTAGTAGGATATTGGTGGAGCCTCTTTCCAGAATTTTAACTGGGAGGTGAATGAGAGACGCCTAGGGTTGTCTTGCTTTACAGCTTTCGCTACCAATCTTGTTCAAGATCATATCTTGACGATCCTTCATGGGTGTATGAAGTTAATTATTGCAAAAACAAATCCAATTTTGTGCAGAGCAGAAATGTTTTTGCAGGAAATAAGGTCTCAGGAAACAAGGTTATCTTTAGTCTCTTAGTCTAATCATTCAGTAAAATAGTTGGTCTTTCAAGGACTGACTTTCACTGTTACACAGCATCTGATTCACAGCTTTTATGGATAAAATTTTAGGCCAGTTTGCTATTTTCCTATTTATTGTATCACTTCATTGCAACCTCCTTTGTATTCAGCAGAATGCTTGAGACGATAAAGAAAGGCAAGTTGAAATCAGATGCTGGGTAATGAACCTTATAGTTTACGAGGCATTTGCTATTCTGTTTATTTTTTACTACATTGTATTTTCTTCACAAATGTTCCAATGCTTAATGTAAGATTTTAATATTGTCTTCATTTTGTCTAACAGTCCTTGCAAAGAAAATTTGTGATTAAGTGGCAAACATTTGGTACAAAGATGCAGAGCTCTTTGGTTTCAATTATCATTGAATTGGAGCAGTTCTCTTTTGAAATGTGTTAGCTGAGTCATAAAACAGCATTCCTTTACTGGTTTGTTTTGAAACACCCGTTGCAACTGGGAAAGTTTGTTGAGGATCGGTTCACAGTGATGTCACAGAATGCTCAAACTTTGCCACTAAGTTTTGAACTAAGCATAGATTGGAGAAGCTTTTAAAGTGTACCTGTTACTACATTACTACAAATTACTAAAAATGGTGACTCAAGTTCTCTTACCCCGCCCCACCTCCCCTCATCCCCAGTGAAAGATGAGCCATTTTTGTCAGTTTTTATTCACAAAACAAAAATCTAGAGGGGAAGGAGGAAGATTTGGAGTCTATTTTGTCAAAAAAAACAGTAGGAAATTTAGGAAAACATTAAGCATCTGGGTAAAATTTGGTTTTATTTTGGAACATCTGCATAACGGCTCATGCAATGTGATATGTGGTATGATTTGCCCAAAAAATGCATACAGTCAAACCTGTAGAAACTATATCTTGTGAAGGGTTTTGAGATGATAAGGTGATGAGGTGTGATATCAAATTCAAGGAATATTTGTATTATATGCATGCATTCCTGGATGCAGCTTTCTTATGGCACATCACATTATTTGACTATTCCTGGAACCAGCAATACAGTAAGGCAGGTTTAAGGATGTGCGTGCATCATCATGGATACCAAAAAAATAATGTTTCTAAAATGAAATTCAAATGGAAATCGTTTTTTCACTGATTAACTTTATACTCAAAAAAAGATATTTATCAGGGAAAACCAGTTTAAAAACTAATTTGAATGGACTTTAGATATTAACCTTGACATTTAAAGTGAAGGCAAAGTAGAACGAAAAACTAATATAAATGTGTTTCAATCCAAGCATGTAAAAAGAATGGAGTTTAAAAAGCCACAAAGCCTTCAGAATGTGTGCTTTTGATTTATGCTTTTATCACATCAAAACTTCTCAAAGCACTTCAAATAATGCTACTTTGAAGTTCTGTAAAACTTGCTGTAGAATCACTCATGCCGGCTAATCAGCAATGCCCCAGAAAGAGCAGTGAGATGAATGACCAATTTATTTGATTTTGCTCAGTTCGAATGAGGAATGACTATTGGCCAGGACACTCTTCTTATAGTGCCATAGGATCCTTAACGCCCAGTTAAACCACTGGAACAGGCAGTGAGTACCTTGGTTTAATATTTAATAGTGCAGTGGTGATGTTATCAACATCTTCCTTTTCTCTGGCACAGTTCCTTCCCTCCCTTTCAAAACTGCCCCTTCTCAAATAAAACCATACTGAACCTTTCAACTTCTCAACTACTGCCTCATGTTCTGGTGGCTCTAACGTGCCTACCAGCTTTGCTCCTTCCTTTTCCACAATTCCAGATTGGTGTGGTGAATCACATGGTAAATCTCCTTTACACCCTTTCGAAGATCCTGACATCTTTTCTATAGTGTGGTGCCCAGAATTGGACACAATACTTCAGCTGAGGCCTAACCAGTGATTTGTAAAGGTGTAGCAGAACTTCCTTGTTTTTGTACTCTATGCCTCTGTTTATAAAGCCAAGATCCCATCTGCTTTTTTAACAACTTTGTCAGCTTCTGCCACTTTCAAAGATTTGTGTGTGTGAACCCCTAGGTGTCAATGTTCCTGTATCCTGTTTAAAATTGTACAATTTAGCTTATATTGCCTCTCCTCATTCCTCTTCCTCAAATGCATCAGTTCACACTTCTCTGCATTAAGTAAGAAAACTTGCCTAAGGTTTTGCCTCACCCAGAATCAAACCCAGGTCCCTCTCTTGCAAGGCGAGTGCACTCACCACTACGCTACGGGACTCCATGTTGCAAGATATAACTGAACTCAACAAACCTGGATGCATCAATGCATTTATATATTTCTTGACAGATATCCTTTTTTGACCGTCATCAACAAATTCACTTTGAGATACAACTGTGGTACATATGGGCCCTGTGGAAATTTGCTTACCTTTCTGTTAGCATTAAAATCAAAAGGATTCAAGAGTCGATTTGCCTTCGGCAAGATAATCGTGTATGTTTTGTCCCATCCTAATTTTCTTCTGTCTTGCCACTGTAGTCGCAACATTTTGATTTCAGTCAAATGAAGCTGAGAGTAAATTGTGGACATCAGCTAGCTTATTGTTATATATTGCAAACCTAAAGAAAATAATGACAGCATTCTTTGAATTTAGTGTCAATTAGTTGGATCTTTTCATAAAGCTGTGAAGCATTGAATGACGAAGCTTAAACTATTGTCATTATGGAGTACAACAAAAGTATTTTACAAGTAGGAATGAGAATTCATTGTGACATATTATGCACGGAATTACATAGACATTTGTTGCATGGAAACAATGACAGCTTGCATTTGTATAACACCCTTCACACAGAAGCACCTCAGACCACTTAAAAAGGCTATTTGGCCCAACTAGTCTTGGCTGGAATTTATGTTCCACATGAGTCTCCACCCCTCCAAATCCTCTGTCCCCGACCCCTTTACTCCCTTCTCCTTCATGGTATGCATGACTTGTAAGTTATACAAAACATGCCCAGAAACGTACCAGTGTGTTTCATACTTGACTCGAATTTGAATCTTGTTCGTGAGTCAATTGTCCTTCGAGTTCAAGATCCTTACGCTCACTACTAAAGCCCTGTAAGGTCTTGCCCACCCTACCTCTGTGGCCTTCTAAAACCTTACCACCCTGCCCTCTCTTTCTCTCATCAGGCACTGGCTTGCTTCATATCCCCTGCCCTGCTCGTCCCACCATCAGTAGTGGGGCCTTTAGCCTTTCTGCCCCTCTTCTGGAACTACATCCAAAGCCCCGTCGCTTTGCCCCTGCATCCTTCAAGGCCCTTCCTCTTTGATCATGCCTTTGGTTGTCTTCCCATCCCACCTCCCTTGGCTCCCACTCCTCTTGAATCCAATCCCCATCTCGGGTGCAAACTCTCAATTGTCCAGCAGGTTGGGACGTCCTCTAGAAAGGCGTTATATAAATAGAAATTTGTTGTTTGTTGTTGTTAATAACTAATTGACAACTGTCAATGCTGAATCTTAATTATTAAAAGGAACTTTGCAGGCCTGGTACTTAAAATTGTCCTGCTTATTGACACCATTGCTTCACTCTTCAATTTTGAGATTCAATCTATTAAATGATGTTCTACAGAGCTGGACACACTGTACATTGCTTTCACATGTTCTTAAACCATGTAATACTTCAGTAAAATATTTATTTTTGAAAATTGTTCAAGAGTTGTATTTTATGCACAGAAAATTCATAAGATTCTGTTATCTTTCATAGATGGATCAGCTTATTGGCAGCATGATTGAGATGTGGGTTGACCGAATGGATAACATTACACAACCAGAGAGAAGAAAACTCTCTGCTTTGGCACTACTGTCACTCTTGCCATCAGTCAACAGGTAAGGCCATTTTAATCTGGCACAGCAGTGTGTTGTTTAGAGCATTCAGTGAGGTGATCACCATGCAGAAATTTATCACCATGCATCCAATCCAAGCTGAGGTTTCCATGCATTCCACCAACACATGAAAATCCCAGAGATAGATTGTTGCAATAGATTGCGTACTCTCTCCCTGGAGAGATGCATTCTGCTTAGCGAAATTCCAGAAAATATTAGGCACAGGTTGGCGAGAGCCAATACTTGGGGTCCCCAGAGTGTGCATTGGGGTATTGCTGAAGTCTAACCAGCTAAAACCACACAGCTTGCCATTGATAGTGCTGTCCAGCAAGCATTCCTGCTGCTTGTCCAGCTAGGGCCACTCTACCATTAGGGCATTGGCTTGTAGAGTTAACAGGAGCTGAGTGTGATGTCTTCCCTGCCCCAAGTGATTGATCTGCCCTTCCAGGTCCTGCCAATGAGCTAGGCTGGCTGTGCTGTCATCAGCAGTGCCCTGGAGTACTGCGGACCTACCTGGCTCAGGAAGCGGACTAGTGAGAGCATCACAGAGGGCTGGTCAATTCTGACATTCCATTGCCAGGGATGTTACCTTGGACCCAGTTCAGCTCCGCTTACAGTTCAGCTCCAAGGAGACACTGTTCCTCTTGCACTGAAACTTGGCTGAAAGTTCAAACCACTCCTGCAGCTTTACACCCAACTGCTTTGTAGCATTCTCTCTGTGTGTACATTATTTGTGATATCTGTAGTCAAAAGGAGCACGAGAAACAAAGCTTCAGACAAACCTCTCTTATTGCTTTACTGGTTAAAGTCTGTGGCATTGTGGACAGTGTGCAGGGACAATAGCTCAGCTCTGCATCACGAAAAGAGTAGCTGTTGAAATACTTTGGGGAAAAGGGAATGAAATGAACTTCAGTATAAAATGAATTAAAATTGTAATTGTACTCATTTTATTGTATCCTGAGAACACCATGATTAAAACAAACAGAAGCAATATGTTGCATATAAAACAAAATAGCCAGATTTCTATAAAATAAACGTTGCAGAGCCTTTCACGAGTAATTATTGCAGCATTTAAAATAATGAAAGTAATTGATGGAATAGATAATTGGTGGAGTAGAGGGTTCCATTACAAAAGAGGCATAGCCTTAAAATCACCACGAAGATAGCTAGAACTAAGATTAGAAAGCATTTCTTCATAACACACAGGGTTATGAAAATGTGGAAAATTCTGCCCAAGAAAGCTGAGAGGCAGTATCAATAGAGATGTCTGAAATAGAGATCAGCAGATACTTGGGTGCTGAGGAAGTATTAAAGGGTATGGCGAAAGGGCAGGGCCTTTGGAATTGAAGGATCTGCCAAGATCTGATAAACTGGTAGAATGGGATCAATGCACATTGGCCCCCTCATGTTCCTGTTTTTTGTGTGGTGCCTGTTTGTAGGCAAACCCAGCAGCTAATCATTGTGTCAGCACAGTTCCACAAACAGCCTTGAGGTGAATCATCATTTAATCTGGAGTATTTTTGGCCAAAACAGTGGGAGAACATTCCACCACTCTCAAATTCTTTGATGTTTACCTGATAAGGCACACAAGACCTTGATTATCATCTTGCCTAAAAGCTGGCACCTCTGATGCAGCAGCACTACCCAAGTACACACTGGAATGTCAACTTGGACTGTGAGCTCAAGCCCCCAAGATTAAACCTCTCACTCTAGGCTTAAAAACAAACGTATATTGAAGAACAAAATCACGACTTGCTAGGAAATGCATTTTTAGATAGTTTGCAGGTAGATTATTGGCCGCAATTCCAGTGTGGAATACTAATCAGGCTGGTCTATGTGATTGCACTAGTCTCTCAAATACTTGTATGTGACAATTGGCAAATTAGTCCAGAAAATGGGAAAAGGTTGCAGGAGTACCTGCATTACCCAAGAAGTAGGCGCTGATTTTACTGAAATTAGTTCCAGTAATTTCTTGATTCAGCAAGTACCACATGATTGATGTCACCAAATCATAAACCTGACAGCTTTGTTATCTCCAGTGAAATTTACCGTCCCTTTTGCTGAGAAGGTCAACCTCTTTCGGTGTGTTTCAGTATTTACTTCAGAATGCCTCTCTTTCAATGATCTGCAATCTCATTTTCTTTTTGCCATATCAAACAATTACTTCCAACGGTATTACTTTGACAGGAGAGATACTGTGTTGAAATCTGAGTGCAATTCATAATAATAATCGCTGCATTTGATACAGTACCTGGAGTCCTGTAGCTCAGTGGTTAGAGCACTCGCTTTGCAAGTGAGAGACCTGAGTTCAATTCCAGGCAGGGCGAAACCTTGGGCAAGTTTCCTTACTCCACACGCCTAATAATAATCCCTCCAAAACCAAAAACAATAATAAATTGGTCATTTTCAATCCACGACTGTTTGTGGGACATTGCTGTGCGCAATTGGCTGTCGCATTCGCCCACAAATATACAGTCAATTCACTGTACAGTGTGTTCTGTGAAGCGTTTTGGGACGTCCTCCCGACGTGAAAAGCGCCATAGCAAATGCAAGGATTATTATTATTATTATTATTACCTTTCATGCCCGGAGGACATCTGAAAACGCTACACAGGATCTACTGTCAAATGTAGTGAATGTATTTTGTAGGTAAACAATTAACATTAAACATTACAATCATTAAAATAGTTTCCCTGTTTACACCCTGAAGATGTTCAAGTGCATGTTGTGATCTTGTTGCAATGTTTTAAACTGCTAGCAGAATATCAGTTTTACTTGAACATTTTGTATGGTCAAAATTAGTGCAGTAGATCATCATTGTAAAATGGTTATCTTATAAGGCAATATATATATATATATATATATATGCATGGACCAGCCAGGTTCCTATACTTGAAGTCCAATTTCCGGGTTGTCAAGTCATCAACAACATTACATCCTGTGTTCTCTGCTGAAGTCGGGTACTTCCTACAGGTAACAGTGACACATACTTAAAGAGAATGGCTACCTCCTATGCTGAAAGTTTCCATATTTTTATATCTGCTGAGGTTACTCATATTCAGCCCAGTTTATTTTATGCTTTAAAATATAAGCAGCTCTCAAGCTAGCCCTGCAAAATGATGATGTGGTTTAGTATTCATGATTAATATTTAATGCTATTTGAAGCATATTCACGATCTTGGTGTATTCTGATAGCTGAATGCTTAGCTCCGTGACTTCAAACTCAGTTACCACTTGTTAGCTGCTGGAGATTCATCATTTTAATTTTTTTTTAAGTAGCTACAATGTGAATGTTTCTTTGCTAAATTGATGCATTTTTTTACTATTTCTACAGGTACATTTTTTTAAACCTGCCTTCCTAATTGTACTACACATAGAAACAATTTCTACCTCTGTGTATATTAAAAATGTCCATTTCCTGGTATGTTTAATGCTTTAGCAACTTGGATTCCAAGGTGTTTAACAGACATAGATTGAAAGTTCAAGAAAGAATTCCTACAAAATTGTGTTGCAAACAAGTGCCTTAACTGTGGCAGGAAGCCTGACTACATTTATCACCTTACTTTTATTCATGGACGTTCTTCATCCAAACTCTATTTGATGGAATCTGTTTATTGTGTGGGTTAAGAGTTAAATAATTTATGATCTTTCTGTTGACTTCATTGAAGTTGTCTGGGTTTGTGTGAAACAGTTTTCATCAGTTCCTCAGGCGCCACTCCACTGATGGAAAGTTCTATTTTGTAATATTTTGTGGCTCCTCAAGATGATAAACAACCATACCTGAGAGTGAAAAATAGTCTATTGTATCCAGTGATCGTATCATACAGTCTTAGGTTTAAAAAATGTATTGATTGTTGAAATGTCCAGCTTTCCATTCAATTCCCTGTTGTTGCGTCCAAAGCCCAATATTAAAAGAACATAATCTGTGCTCCTAGAGCAATATTTCAACGTGTCCTATAATGTCACTGTGAATTAGTTTTGCTACTTCGGAGCACATCACCACTGACTTTTAAGTTGAGGATTGCTCAGTGATGACCTAAAATAACTGTTATCATGAAAGTAGAACACATTTCCTTGCCATCTTTATAATGTTCAATGTGGACTTAAATCCACTAGACACTATCATGTACTTTATAAATGCAAATACAATTATGTAAACCAGCCCTGCCTCTCATTTTTTTAGTATGTAATTATGTTATAGATGTTATAAAAGGATCAACTAGGCATGTATCTAGTTGACTGGTACCGTATAACATTACAAATGTGGCGGTACTAAAAGCACTTGTAGACAGTTCAAAATAAACCTGTTTTTCTGCCTTCTGTGTAATTCTAAGTAATTTGCAACAATGCATTACAGCTGGTGAGATGAGACTTTTGAGACACTTTCATCTCATCATGAACCAGTGTAAGTAGCAGTGTTTCATGCAATCCACGTCCAGTGCTTGGAAAACTACAGTCATTACTTTTAGGTTTGAAAACGAAAGGGTTGATCATCATCGCTAATGGTTGCATTGAACAATCTGTACATTAAACTGCCAGTGAGTGTATGCGTGTGTGTTTTAAGCATAAATTCAGCAGCCAGTCTTGACACATTTTTAGGTTTTTGAACCCCTCATCTATTGAGAAACTGCAGATGGGTTATCTTAACTCATATGGTGATTTCTGTATAGTCTGTTATCAGTAATCATTTTTAGCCAAAGTAATCAAAGGAGGTTTACAAGAATTATTCTGGGGATGAAGGACTATGGTTATGAGGAAACGAGAAGCTGGCTCTGTTTTCATTGGAGCAGAGAAGGTTGAGCGGGAGGCCTGATTAAGATGTACAAAATCATGAGGCGTTTTGTTCAGGTTAATAGAGAGAAGTTATTTCCATTGATAGGGGAGTCAAAAACTAGAGGACATAGTTATAAGATAGCCACAAGAATAGTGAAAGGAGAACTTGGAAGGAATTTTTTCACCCAGGGAATAGTTGGGATGTAGATCACCCTTCTGAGTAGGGTGGT